AAAAAAAAAAAGGGTCAGCTATTGCAAGGTTACTTTCTGTAAAGGGGATGGCAGGGGTTTATCAGGCAGGTTACTGAATTTACTGAACAAAGGTGATTCCTGATTGGCTGGCTTAAGATTCCATTTCTGGGACAGCTGAAACTGTAATGAAGTCTTTTTGGTGACAAGGGGCTTAGCACAAGTGACTCTATTATATTGTCCCTATTTCCTTGTACTTAACATGGAATAAATGTGTTTGGGATGAAAAGGTGACCTCAGTTTAATCGTTATAGTGGCCCCAGGAGGCATAATTTATCCCTCCCACTTTTCATATGTGGAAACTGCAGCCCTGAGTGTTCTGGGAGTGAGTTTAAAGTTGCCCTATCTTGGTGGCAGAGCCTGGGTACACAGAGACACATAAGCACATCTGTGACATGGGAAGGGAGAGCATGTGTTGAGGCTGCTAAGTGCTTGGAGTTGGATATTTAAATTAGAGAGGGCACGTGTGGGTGAGCCTCTAACCCCTAGCAGTGAGACGGATTGGATCTCTGCCCTGTGGGATGGCTCAGAGGCCCCTGTCCAAATGCCAAGTCTTGATGCCCACATCTCCTCTCCCCTCCAACTTATCCTGGGACAGAAGCAGATGGCAGCTGAGCGAGAGAAGGTAGGGGCAGAGTTCCAGGCACTGCGGGCCTTCCTTGTGGAGCAGGAGGGCCGGCTCCTGGGCCGCCTGGAGGAGCTGTCCCGGGAGGTGACACAAAAGCAGAATGAAAACCTGGCCCAGCTCGGGGGAGAGATCACCCAGCTCTCCAAGCTCAGCAGCCAGATCCAGGAGACAGCTCGCAAGCCTGACCTTGACTTTCTTCAGGTGAGTCTGGCTCCCCAGGGCTTTGAATCATTTATCCTAAGGCATTGCGAAGGCAGTGAGAACAGTTCAATCCTATGAATTTAGTAGAATCCCACAATCTGGAGCCCAAAGGGCCTGGAAAGAGGTGCCCTGATTGTCCTGGGGTTAGAGGTCTAAAAGGATGTGATAAAACTTCCTTGACCGTGAACCACAATGATATATCTTACATTGTATTCCAGTATGTACACATTTGAGATGAAAGTCTCGGAAAATAACACCTCTCAGGTGTGATGCACTCGGATGCTTTCTATTCTACTTCAAAATAGTCATGGTCTGCTAAACTTTACAAGTCACAAATGGGTCAAGAACAGTTATTTAAAAGACACTGATCTGAATGCACAGTTGCTGTGTAAAGGCTGTGACTTGTCTTGGTGGTGTCCAGAGCAGAAGCAACTCTGTGTCCCAGCATGTGGCTGCAGTGATGATTCTGTAAGGAGGGGAGCATTTGCAGAGCTGTGAGCAGGTTGATGAGACGCCCAGCTGCCAGCCAAGTGGAAAGCCTTTGGCACTGGGGCCTGCGGCTGGATGTGGTACACCTGCTTATTGCCTATTCCCCTGGAAGCAGGGCAGGGGCCAGAGGTGAGTGGAGATTACTCAATGCTGATTTGTTTTTTTCTTTCATTTGTCTTTCCAGGAATTCAAAAACACACTCAGCAGGTGAGCAGACCTAATAGTTCCTTGGGCCTCTCTAAGCTGGTTCTTCTTCCTGTCCATTGCACTCTCTCCCTCTTCCCCCAGCCCCCATGCCCCAACTTCTCACCTCCCATTCCCCACTGCCTTACCTGGGCACCTTCTGAGGCAGAAGTCCACCTGTCTGGCCATGGTATCGGCATAAGATCAGGCTCCCCTTTGTCCACCTCTTCTCTCCAAGAGGACCTAGCTGTTCTAATTATGGGAGTGGGACAATGTTGGTGGCCCTTCCTTAGGGTCCTTGTCTTGCAGGTGCAGCAATGTGCCTGCCCCCAAGCCAAGCACAGTCTCTTCTGAGATGAAGAATAAAGTCTGGAATGTTTCCCTCAAGACCTTTGTCTTAAAGGGGCTGCTCAAGAAGTTCAAAGGTAGGGCCTATGGGAGGTTGGGCCACATGGTTCTGGTGGTTTAGGGTCCCAAGGATGTGCCTTTCCAGAAGCTGTGTGAGAAAACAGCAGCTGGGGTGTATGGTGGCTAATTTATTCAGGCCACCTCAGGGCAAGAAGCTTCCCCTGGGGACAGACAGGGCAGGAAGCATGGGGGACAGAAAGAGGGCTGAGGAAGGAGAGTTTAGCTCTGATTAGCTCCAGGCAAAAGAGGAAGAAGTAGGAAACGGAGACCCAGAATACTGCCCCCCCACACACACTTACACACACGCACACATGCACACACACACACACCTACACACACATACATATACACATGCACACGCACTGGGCCCTGTGCCTCTGGTGTATCTGGGGAATGTGCAAGCAGGGCCATAAATGTCAGACTAGGTGGTACCACTGTCATTGCCAGATAGACAATCTCCTCTGTCATTCATGCACACCCTGCTTTGTTTTTCCTCCTCAGAGGATCTTCGCGGAGAGCTGGAGAAAGAGGAGAAAGGTAGGCTGTGGTGATAGTGCCCCTTATGTAGCCACGGAAAGAATCCAGTCCCGGCCCGTGACTGTCTCTCTGTGCTTTGTGCACGGCCAGTTCCTTTTACCTACTGGCCTCAGTGACTATGCCATCTGCTCCCTGTTCCCCCTCATCCTCAGCTCACAATGCTGACTCCTTCAAGCTACAATGGGGCCCATAGGCCTGAAAGCTGTGGGTCGCTACAGAGGGAAAGTACTCTGCGCCTCGGGATACTAGATTGGGGAGGGCTTGTCTGTCACCAGTCCCCACTCCCAGATATACCGAGACCTCTCCTGGGGACAAGATTGTGTGCAGGGGTCAAGGGAAGCAGGAGGAGTCTAAGGATAGGAAGGGAGGTGGTTCTGACTCCTGCAGAGCTCTGGGGTGAGTGGGATCCAACCCACTGGGAGTGGAGGTGGTGAGGGCACCTGTTTCTGATACCGATGACCCTGCTAAGTCAGACTTTGCCTGGGAAGAATCTAAACTAGTTGAATCAGCCCCTCCTCTGCTCGGAACCTCTCACTCAGTAAGGCTGGATCCTCACCAAGGTCTTCCAGGCTGGACGGATCCGGCCCCACTACACATTTGCCTCCTGGTTCACTCTGTGCAGCATACAGTCTCCTTGCTGCTCCTGGAATGTATCAAGCACACACCCAACTGGCCTGGAACTGCTTTGGCTCTCACCTCCTTTATGTTAATTTACTCAAATGCACCTTTTGGTGAGGCCTTCCCGGGGCCCTCCAGTTGAAATTACAGCCTGTTCTCCTTGTCTTTCCCATCCTCCCCTCAGTAGGAGGGCAGCGATCTTTGCGATTCCCAGGGTCTAGAACAGGCCTGGAACACAGTCGTATTTACAAGTGTGCATATTTGAGTTTTTAATTATAGATGATTTCAAACATACACTGGAGAAAAGAGCATAACAAATATTATGTACTCATAACACACCTTCAGCAATGATCAACTCATGGCTAATATTTTTCATAAACACTCCTACTCACTTCTTCCCATTGGAGTATTTGGAAGCAAGTCATAGATCATTTCCATAAATATCTCTAAAGAGATAGACTTTAACGGGGAAAAAAACACCACAAAACCATCATCATAATTAAAAGAACTGATCATTCTTTCCAGTATCTCAGTGTTGGACACCACCTAATTGTCTTATAAATTGTTGGATTTGTCTGTGCTTGAATTGGGGTCCCAATCAGGTCTGTACATTGCATTTGTTTGATTTCAACAGGTACTCGTGTTGAGGGGGGCAGGAATAAGGGGCGGCAGCCGTGCAAGGGGCTTCATGGGCAGTCTCTCCCTGTCTTCCCCACCACAGTGGAGCTGACCTTGGACCCCGATACGGCCAACCCCCGCCTCATTCTCTCTCTGGATCTTAAGAGCGTGCGCCTTGGACAGCGGGTCCAAGACCTGCCCAGCCACCCGCGTCGCTTCGATACCAACACTCGAGTCCTGGCGTCCTGTGGCTTCTCCTCCGGGCGGCACCACTGGGAGGTGGAGGTGGGCCCCCAGGACGGCTGGGCCTTCGGCGTGGCCCGCGAGAGTGTGCGCCGCAAGGGCCTCACGCCCTTCACCCCAGAAGAGGGCGTCTGGGCGCTGCAGCTCAATGGCGGGCAGTACTGGGCAGTGACCAGCCCTGAGCGGACACCCCTCAGCTGTGGGCATCTGTCCCGCGTGCGGGTGGCGCTGGACCTGGAGGTGGGGGCCGTGTCCTTCTACGCCGTGGAGGACATGCGCCACCTTTACACCTTCCGCGTCAACTTCCATGAGCGCGTGTTTCCCCTTTTCTCTGTCTGCTCCACTGGCACCTACTTGCGAATCTGGCCTTGAGGGGCATTACCCAGCCCCCCAGGTTCGCGGGGCCAGGATGGCTCAGTTAAGGGTGAACTCGCCCTCTTGGCTGCCTGTGGGATGGGAGGTGGTTCTCCTTCCGGAGCCTCCTGCTCACTTTTGGTCTACCTGTCACTCTCCTGCCCCCAGCTGCCTTAGAGGAGTTTCTGGTGACCACAGTATGAAAACTGAGCAGTGGAGGAAAGGGGCTCTGTGGTCACTTGAGCAGAGGAAGATGCCTTGGATCCTCAGGGCCTGTCCCCTGCCTGCTGTTCTGGCATGTGGATTTGGCCTGCTGTGATGAGGTGGGGGCGGGTGAGGACAGGAGCCCACCTGTTGACAGAGGTGCTTCTTTTCACTCTGGCTTACTGCCCAGACTCAGTAGGGCTTCTCGCTCCCTGGAACATCAAGCCCTGGTCCTGTGATGTCCTCAGTTGCAAGGTGGGGAGCCAGCCAGGTTCATTATCACTTCTGCTTTGTTTGCCTTCTTGTCAGCTGCTAGCTCTGCCTTCAGAGACCTGAATCCAGCTGGCCTGACCAAATCATCTGCTCAGGGAGGAGCACTGTACTCCCAGCTCAGAGGACAGTCTGGGGCAGGACTGGAAGGAAAACCTTGACCTGCACATGAGGGAGAAGCTCAGGACAACAGTATATAGGCATGGCTACCTTCCAATATCCCTCAACTTGATGTTACAGAGTAATATGCAGATCCTTGGCCACAGCGACAGCCATGTGTGTTCACAGATGCCTGAATCCCTCTCAAGTGCCAAAGTACAGTCTTCCTTGGGTAAGGAGACCAAAATTTCTGGAATTTTGAAACACAAGACAGCACTTATAATTTTACAGATTTAACTAACACCAGCATGGAAATGGACAGAGCACACACATGCCCCTGACAGATTCTTTCTGGAACTTGTCAAATGTATGCCAACGGCAGAGGATGCTAGTTTCAAGGCCAGATCAGCTTGTGGCCATTATTGCCCCGGCGAATTGTTCCCCGGCTTCTGTATGGCTGGGCTTTCTTGGAGGGTGGTGGTGGGCTGTTCCTTGCTTAGTGCTCCACAGGCAAAGGAGATGGAGATGGAAATACAGACTGTGAACTCATTTCTAGGGTTGCTTGGCTCGTTCTTGGCTTGCCTGAGTGCAAGAGCACAAGCATGAGCAAGGGTTTCTGCCAGATTGGGTGAACACGTGTACTTCTGTGTGCGAGGAATGTGCACATTCCTCAGATAGTGGGGGCAGGGGGGTGTGTGTATCTTGGAAAGGGTGTGTATGAGCACATGTATAGGGTTGAGGTATTGAAACAGACCTAGGTCAATCTGGTCTATTATTGGTTTGTTGTTGTTAAATATTAACCATCCCATATTTAGGTGAGGGCTATAGGTTTCCTTCCCCACTAATGGGTGCCCGGCTAGATGAAAGCCAGTTTCAGACCTAATTCTGTCCTGCGCAGGTTTAGACAGATGTATTGGCATGCAGGGACGATGACAGTCAAATAGTCTGGCTGCAAGAGTCCTGGAGTTTCTGAGCTCTAGCCCTTGAGATGCTTCAAACACATGTTGCATTCAAGGTGCTTGTAGGGCAAGCATGACACTGTTCTAGAGCAACCATCCCCAACCTTTTCGGCATCAGGGATTGGTGCTCCTATGAGAATCTAATGCCTGATCATCTGAGATAGAGCTGAGGCAGTGATGCTAGTGCTGGGGAGAGGCTGCAAATACAGATGAAGCTTCGCTTGCTCACCTGTCACTCACCTCCTGCAGTGTAGCCTGGTTCTTAACAGGCCACAGACCGGTAGCAGTCTGCAGCCCGGGGGCTGGGGATATCTGTTCTAAAGGTAGACCCAGTGCACACACACAGCCAAGCAGTCAGAATCCAGTACCCTACAGGCCGGGAACAGGACCATATAAGAGTCCAGCCTACAGCAGCATTCCAGAGGGTGAATCCTGTGCCCTATTCATACATGGAGTGTAGCTCTAGAACATTGTTGCCAATCCACATATTTGAATACCACTGATTTCCACAAGGAAGACCCATTTCTAACATTGATTTGCTAATTAAATTGCCTAATGTTATCATCAAGCCCTAATGTTATCTAGGCCTGTATGGCTTTTGAATTGAGTATCACAATTGCCTTTTATATCATCTAGCAACTGTGCTGAAGTATTCAACACATGTTATAGGTCACAGAAGATAGGGTGACTGATGGAGGCCCTGTAGGGCCAGATTTGGGGACTGTAGGGGTGGCTGTCTGTATATGTTCACCTTTTGTGTTTGTGAATGTGGTTGTATGTGTATCAGAGTTTGTAGAATAACTACATAGATATCTATATATATCTGCAGAGATATAACAGTTACATAACAACTGCACAAGGAGGGTGACAGAGATGTTCTCTCTTGGTCACCAGGGCAGTGTGGTGACTTTGGATGTCACAATGCTGGTGTGAGAGTATGTGTGCACGTGTGCCTTTTCTTCTCCCATCCTTTGGGTATCATAAGATCTCTGAGGTCTCTGGGCCTCTGAAAGCAATGACTGGCCTAACTTGGGTCCTTCTGACCCCACCCATTAATCCCATATCCTTGTGAGCTGCAAAGGCACGACAACCCAGGTCCTTGCCACCAGACTCTTGCAGGGCTCCTCACCATCTAGACTGGAGGGCACCTAGGGGCCTGCCGCTGGCCTGGCCACCCAGTGACCTAAGTCATCTAGCCTTGTAGGGACCATAGAGCAGTTTGGGCCACTAGCCAACGTCCACCACCTACAGCTGCCACTTCCTGACCATTGATGGGCAGGGGCTACTGTCCCTCACCTGAGCCCTTACCCTCTCTCCTTGCCCTCAAACCCGAGGGCCATTTGGGTGCCCTAACAGAACTAGCAACCCATGAATCCAAGGCGGGCCTTGATTTTGCCTTTTCCTAATTTGCCTATAGGTGCGGTAGGAGCTAGGGACCCCCTACGTTGACCCAGTCTTTCTTGGCCCAGCACCAACTCGTACCTGGACTTTCTGACTTCCCCATCACTCTCTATCAGCCTCTCTCCTGATCCCTAGACTCTAGATGGGAGCAGGCCTGTGTGTGGGAGAGAAGAGAGTCCCCCGCCGCCCCACACCTTACGGTTCAGCCCTTGACTCGCCCGGACCAGGATTCCCCTCAGGACCGGCCCATTCACACCCTCCCCCTTAGTACTCCCCTCGCAGCCCTGACCTGCGACTCAGATTCCCGTACACGATCAACCGCAGAACCGCCCCCCACCCCCATTCCGTCCCTGACTCCCCGCCCACCAGAGGTCTCTCCCGGGTCTGCCGCGCGCCCCGCCCTCACGCCGTCCGTCACAGCCTCAGTCTGAGGACTTGCGCGCGAAATGCCGGCCTTCCTTGTGCAGGCCTCCCAGGATTTGCAGCTCCTATACTTACAGAAGCCGCAGGTTGAGTGGTAGTAGCCGGGCGGAGCCCATAAGGGCGGAGGAACGCCGACTCCGCCTCTTGTCTTCTAGCTCATTTATATAGTTATCTGCGACTGCGCGAATACAGATGAAGCATTAAGTGCTCGTGCGCAGAAGGCCCTTCACCAGTTGGCTCCATAGCTCAGGGGTTAGAGCACTGGTCTTGTAAACCAGGGGTCGCGAGTTCAAATCTCGCTGGGGCCTACGCAAGTTTTTTTTCCCCCTCCCACTTCATAAACTTTTCTGAAAGGTGGAAAAGCTTAAGATGCGCAAGCCGACACGAATTCCGCCTTTCTGGCAAGCCAGACTCTGGTGAAGCTTCCTGTGTTTTTTTTTGTTGTTTTTTGCCTTGCAGGCGTCAGCGGTTCAAAGGCCCCTTCCTCCCGTGGCCTTATCCCTCATAGAGTCACACCCACTGTATCCCTGGTCTAGCGGTTACAGGTTCCGCAGGTCCCGCACACCTTCTTCTCCGTGGTCTCTTGCTCGCTTCCTTCTGCGCGCGCTCGGGGCGAGTTCGTGGTAGGTCTTCCCTCCTGGGGCAGACCAGGGGCTACCCATGGTCTTTCATTCTCGGTTGCGTGAGGACCACCTGTAAACGCTCCTCCCTTCGCTTCCTAGGAATCTACTATTTTAGTTGGTGGCGGGAGGCAACTAAAAGTCTCGGCATAACTCGCTGTTGGCCCCCGCAATCTGGCTTCTAGTGAGGCAGCCTTCTGGTAGGGCAGGCACATGGAGGTCGACGAATGCGGGGAGCCTGGGGCGCGCAAGAGCCCAAAGGTACCTGCGGACTCCTGGCCTATCCACCGCGAGTTCGTTCGCGTCTTGATGCAAAGTTCGACTCTGGATGGGAGCAGGTCTGTGTGTGGAAGGGAAGCGCTTCCCCCGCCGCCCCACACCTCACGTACGCCATCCATCCCTTCTTTCAGGTATACACAAGTGCCCGCGAGTGGTTCTTTCCCGCGCACCGGGCCCGGGTCCTGCGCTTCTCGGAGTCAGTGGGGTCCCCACGTGGGGCGGCGATTCGCTCGAGGCCTTTTAGGGAGTCCCCTTTGAATGGAGAGAGGGCTCCTGCGGTCTGGGATGGCGCGGCAGGGCATGGTCACACCTCTGCCTCTGCTAAGGCCTCTCGAGAGGGTCGTGCCCGCGAAGGTAGAGGTGGGTGGGCGCCGAAGACACCATCTCCCACCCCCATCCGGCAGCCCCGCCCTGTTCTCTGGGGTTTTAGGCTCATTTGTACACTTGACTTCCCTTTACAACATAAATAAATAAGTCAAAATCAGAAGGTCAGCATATATTAGTGTGTGCTTTTTTGTTTAAAAGAAAAACCGAATGGTTAAAAAAAAAAAAGGCCAGAAACGAATGTGACAAAGTTATAACTATAGTTTAGGTCCGGATGTCACGGATGTGGACTTTCGTTCCCACTTTTCTTTAAATAATTCCGTAGAGAAGAGAAGCAAATGCTTACAACACGAGGCAGTAGTGACCGGGAGACCTAGGACGCACGGTCAGCGAGAGCTGAGAAGCGCCCACTTAACTCTTAGAGCGCGCGGGAGAGGCACACTAGCGTCGCGGTCCGCAAGGAAGAGGCCCAGAGGAGGAGCAGCGAGCAGCGAGTGGAGCGTCAGCGCAGGGTGGTGAGTAAGATCGCAGAGAGTGGCAATGGAAAAATTAGCACATTCCCCCTGACACCTCGCGTCTCCCACGCTGTTCTGTAACAGCCAGCTGGTGGCACAAAAATAAACCATTGGGCCAGCGCTGAGTGAATTTCGTGAATTTTCCATAGGGAACCAAAATCACTATTTTACTACTAAATAACCAAATGCAATTAAAGCTCTCTGGGGAGAGCAGGTCCGAGACGAGGGAGGAGGAGAGCGCCCTCACAGCCCCGGCCTCTGGTTCGCCGGGTGCGGGTGGGTGCTCCAGGGAAGTCCCGCCAGGACACAGAAAGGGCGGAGAGCTGGGGCACCCGGCCTGGACGCCGCGGGTGCGCGCGCACTGGTGCCAGCCTCGGGGAGCCAGGTTCCCGGTCATTTCATTTTTGCCTTACATTTCCCTACCTTCCAGAACTTTGGAAATACGTGTGTGTTGTTTTTAATATTTTCATATAACGATAAAGAAAAGCCGCCGCCCCTTTACAGGCGCCCCACATGAAGGAACTACGCGGTTTCATTTTGCCTGTAATGGCTGAGGATCCAGTCCATCCCTCATCCGCTCCAAGTCCAGCTCCCGGTTCTCTCAAGGAACTCTCCGGCTTTTCCGGCCTCTGCGTCCCGCCCCTGGGCCGCCAGACTTGCACCTTATTTGGGCTACCTTGGGAGGGGACTTTCAGTGCCCAAAAAGGAAGGATGCCCCTTCCTGCTGCCCGAGTAACCTTAGCAATGAGCGCTCATTCAGATTTCTTGACATCTCAGAGAGATCAAGAGGTTCCGAGAGTTTATGCTGCGCGAAGCTACTTGCGGCTGAGAGTTAACGGCGGACAAGAGATGGCTAAGAGGGCTAGGACAAGCGTGGGAGACCACGAGATCCCGTAGGTGGTTTCAGTATACCTGAAACAAAAAGTCACTTTCTCAACCATGAAACAACTCTACTTCAAAGATGATCAAGGACTAAACCAGACTAGAGGATACCAGCTGGCTCGTTGGTCTAGGGGTATGATTCTCGC